GTTCTGGAACTCCCTCTGTAGAGGCTGTCTTCCAACTCAGACATCCACCTGCACCTACTTCCTGAGTGCTGCTATTAAAGGTGTGTGCTACAACCAGCAGCAGCAGCAGCCAGGCTGTGATTCTTTTTTTTTTTTTCATTAATTAATTTATCTTTATCCTGAGCAGAGCTTCCCTCCCTCCTCTCCTCCCAGTCCCTTCCTTTTCACTCCCCTTCCCATGCCCCTAAATAGAAGATGATGCTGCCAGGCCTACTACAATCTGATATGTCAGGGCAGGTTGATCCATCGAAGGTCTCCCTCTCTGAGGAGAGAGGCTATGATTCTTAAAGAGAAAACTCCAGCTCTGCACTGGAACACTAGAAAAGATGCCCCAAGGGCAAGATTTGCCAATTAAAGGCTCCACACTATGGAACGCAAATTCATTTGAGAGGAGAGAGGCCGAGCTGATAACTAGCTGTTATTCCAAAAAATACCACCTAGTGACATGTTTCTCCACAGTCAGCCTGGAAGGCACACATAGTCGGACAACTGTGGGCCAAGATGGCTAGCTTCCATCGTAAGCTGGCGACAGAGCCTGGCAGCAGCACCCACCTGGCACTCCCCGTGCAATACGGGTCATGGGGTCATGACTGTGGTTCCAGAAAACTCCAGAGACTGCAGTGGGTGGCAAGGTTAAAATCCCTGCAAGGCATCTCTGAGAGGTCACTTCATTAAACCTAAGTTTCAGCGGAGACCTGAGGATTTTGGAAATGCCAGGACCATGAGATGTCTGCCAGTGTAAGCTGAAGGCCAGCCCCAGAGAGAGGCCATGTGTTCTGCAGGCAGCAGAGCTGGAGAGGCAGGCCTCAACAAACTGTGGAATCCAGATGATTCCAGTCAAGAGTCAGATGCCAGACATGGAGCCGCAGAGTTTGTTGGCTCTGCTGGGTTTTGGTGTGAGCTTAGGTGTGAGCATTCCTTGCTAGGCCTTAGTCCTCCTTTTTGCAATGAGAATGCTGCTTCTGTGCTGTTATGTGTTGGATGCGTGTCATGTTTTAATTTTATAGATAAAAAAATGATGCTTGGACTTTGAAACAGTGTTGGAACTGTTGGGGACTAAATGTCTTTTTATTTTGAGGTGGCCGGGAGCCTTCAGAGATACGAAGTGGGTGGCTGTGCCTTAAAAAGGACTGTGTTTTGGTGTAACGATGAGAGAAGGTGGAGTTGTGATGAACAATACTGTCTGTTTGACATCTAGGGTCATGTCAGTGGCAGCCACTGGGCAAGCCTGTGACACGTTGTTCAGTTCGGGTAGCCTCTGGAAACAATTTGAGGAGTTGGTGTGGGAAGACCTACCCTGAATATGGGTGGCACTAGGATTTGGTCCTGGACTGAATGAAAAGGAGAACCCGAGATGAGCACTAGTGTCCAAAGCTCTGTGCTTTCTAACGTGATGTAGTGTGACAGGCTGCCCCATGTGTGTTCCTGCCCCCATGACGTTCCTGCCACAGTGGGCTATGCTTTTGTTCTATAACAATAAATTTTCATAAGCTGCTTTTATCACATGTCGGCAACTAATAAAACCACCAAAATAAACATACAGACTCACCGCAATCCCATCAAAATTCCAATGCCATTTTTTTTTTTACAGAAATTGAAAATAAAAAGACAACTTAAGATCATTTGGAAGCAGAAAATACCTCAGCTAACTAATCTAAGACAAAGAAATAAAACAAGAATGAAAGAAGAAATCTGAGGTGTTCCCACACCTGAATTCAAGGTATATTATAGACCCATACAAAAACAAGTGAAAAAAAAATCATGGTATTGTCACAAAACAGGCATAATAGACTTCTACAGAACACAGGATCCGGACCAACTGATGGAACTACAGCTGCCTCAGTTTTTGTCAAAGATACTGAAAAGATTAGTTGTAGAAAAGACAATATCTTCACCAAATGGCGCAAGGCAGACGACATATCCATATGTAACTTAGATCTTTATTTCAGCCCTATACGCTCATGTCTTCAATTGGCCAGCATAAAGACTTGATCTCTTTTCCACCCTTCTCCACCCTTTCCCACTCTTTCAGCCCCCTAACACTAGATAGGAGAGGAACAAAGGAGAGAAGGGACAGGGGCAATGTTAGAGCTAGCCTACATTCTGCTGATTAGGGGTGTCGACTTCCTGGGGGCAAGTTTGATCTTTGCCATCAGGGTATCTTAATTTTTTTTTCTTTCTTCTTTGCACACAACTATTTAACAAATCATGACCAACAGCAACCAGCCAGCAGCAACCCCGCTCTGGGGCTCTGGGGGCCCTAACATTTATATAAGCTGAAAAGTCTCCAGATTTCCAAACATCACATAATTGCAGAAACAATCTGCAGGTGGGAAAATCACATCCTTTCTAGAGCAAGAGGCAAATCATAGTCATCTACTATGGATGATCTTAATCAGCCCCACCTCCCCACACCTGGGATTAAAATAAAAGCACATTCCTATTTCTGTGGATTTTTTTTTTTTAAGAAACCAATATTTCCATTATACCTGTCAAAGGGCTGATAGCTAGGGTGTGCACAGAACTAAAAGCTGAATCAAGAAATTGAATATCCCAATAAAAATTGACAATGAAATAAACAAAAAGCTCTCCAAATAAGAGGTATAAATGATCATTAAACATGAAAAAAATGTTTCTTACTCACTGACCATCAGAGAAATGCAAATTAAAACATTGAGATCCCACTCTGAATGGCAGCTGTTAAGAAAACAGTAAGTGCCAGTGAGACAAAAGGAAAACCTGGTGGTGGCTTTCTGTGGAAACCAGTGAGTGGGAAACAAGCTGCTGGTGGGACTGTAAGCTAGTCTCCCCACCGTCAGATTTAGGCTCCTCAGAAACTGCAGCAAGAGTCGTTGTGAGCCTGTTGCTGCACACTCTCCCAGAGGACCACAGAGCAACACACCATGGAGCTGTTTAAACTCTGATGTTTACTGCAGCACAACTCACAATAGCCAAGTTATGGAACCAACTTATGGAACCTACCAAGTTATGGAACTCACTCTGTTGTTAGATTCCTAACAGAGGAATGGATAATGAAAGTGTGCTGTCTATACATGATTGAATCTTCAGGCATAGGGAACAACGAAGTTGTGTCATTTGCAGGAAATAGATGCAATGGGAGATGACCACAGTAAGGAAATTAATCCAATTTCTGAAAGGAAATATCATGTATCATGACATGAAGGTACAGCAAAACTTTCTTGGAGAATGAAGGAGACTCAAGGGAAGGCAGGTGTGATTTGAGTGAAAATAGCCCCCATAGCCTCATGGATACTTCGTCCCAAGTTGGTGGAACTGTTTGGGAAAGATTAGGAGGCATGGCCTTGTTGGAGGAGGTGTGTCACTGGGGTAAGCTTCAAGGTTTCAAAAGCCCAGGCCACCTCCCCCCACCCCCCCAGTTAGCTGTCTGTCTCCTACTTGAATGTAAGGATATAAGCTCTTAGCTACTTCTCCAGCACCAACCATGCGCCCCAACCATGGTGATTATGGTCTCTGACCCTTTGGGACTGTGAGCCCCAAATTAAATGCTTTCTTTTATAAGTTGCTTCCATCATGGTATTTTGTCAGGGCTGTAGAAAAGTAACTAAGACAGAGGGATAGAAAGAAATGGGAAGGAATGTGTTTGGCTTATGTTACACACATCTATGAAAATGTTTCTATGTTTATAGGACTGTGCACAATGAATGTACACAATGAAAACTTCAGCAAGAAATAACTTTAAAGTTACTGCTTAAAAAGTACCAAAAAGCTGAGGAAATGACTGTCAGCAAGGCACTTGCGTGCAATCATGAGAAGCCGAGTTTGTGTCCCTAGCACCCAGGTAAAATAGGAGCGTGGTGGTGCACACCTGTAACCCCAGCACTGGGAGGACAGATGGCTCCCCCGAGCTAGCTGCCCAGGTGGCTTAGCCAATCATTGAGTTCTGAGTTCAGGTTTGAGACCCTGTCTCAAAAAGTGTAGTGGGGATCGATAGAAGACACTCGGTGTCATTGTCTGTTCTCCTTCTGTATGTGCACACATATGTGTGTACGTATGGCTACGGGAACGCATGTACCACGTTAAAAAGAATGCCAATGACCAGGCCAGCCTGGTCTACACCGGGAGTCCAAGACAGCCAAAGTCATACAGAGAAACCCTGTCTTGAAAAACAAAAACAAAAAAAAATGCAGTCATTTAAATTCAAGAACATCTACCCATCCTGAGGTTCCTTTACTTTTGATAAGTTAGAATATTTCTGCAAGTTAGTGAGAGTTGAAAGACAGTATACCGACCCTCCCATAGACTTGCAGGATATTTCAAAGGACTTTATGGACAGAAACTTTGGATGTCTTTCATTCCTCAGGGAACTGGTCCAGTGGTACTTGTGCATAGGCAGGAAGAACACCCTAGTCTGTTTGTGCTGTTGTAATAAAAGATCTGAAGCTGTGTCACTACAAAGAGCATAAATTTATTCCTCACAGTTAGCCAAGTATGGTGTCTAGCGAGGCCTGCTTCCTTGCTCCAGAACAGTGCTCCACTGTTGCATGTTCATGGCAGGAAGTAGCCAGGCAAACCAGCCAAGTGCTACAGACCTTTTTCCTTTTTTTATTTTTAATATTTATTCATTTATTATGAATACAATGTCCACATGTACACCTGCAGGCCAGAAGAAGGCACCAGATCTCATTATAGATGGTTGTGAGCCACCATGTGATTGCTGGGAACTGAACTCTGCACCTCTGGAAGAGCAGCCAGTGCTCTTAACCTCTGAGCCATCTCTCCAGCCCCAGACCTTTTTCATAAAGGCCTAATCCAAGGCACTAGAGAGAGCCCTCCTGGCTCAGTTACCATAAAGATCCCAGCTCTTACTGCTGTCATTATTCCCACCTAGAAGGGACCCTTTCAAACAGTAGCCAAGAAGCACATTACCTGCCTGATTCATGCTATGGTTTTCTATCTGCCAGCCTCCCGGGGAACTCTACCTGAGAACTCTCTAGTCGGCCAGGGATGCACATCTTGCCAGCAGAACAGCAGGAAGACAGATAAGAAGGTCCCCACTCCTCTATTCGTTGCCATGTTTCCCCCAGAAGAAGGAGGAGGCCCTTCCCTGGAAGGTCTTCAGCTTCCCCAGCCTTGATCTCCTGGATACATAGAATGTCCGAGACCTGTGACATCACCGCCAGGAAGTGATCTGGGTTCTTTTTCCTGGTGAATAGGTCTGTGCTTGTTATCTGCTCTCTAGAAGAGACTGATGGGAGTCAACTCTACTTTTCTCAACTGAGTCTCTCTACTTTTCACACTGCCTATACTGTGTCTGCCTCAGTCCCAAGACTATCAAGGACCAGAGAGGTAAGGCATCAGTCAGAATTCTCAATGTGAAGTTCAAAACACAGAATATCTCCTTCTATGAACAGAAGTGCTGGTAAGATGCTGGAGCTGTATGTCAAGACAATTAGCTTCAGATGGTCCTAGAAGAACATGTCTCAGTTCTTCAAGTTCTGGGATCCTGAAGCATGGATGGAGCTTAAAGACTAAAGGCTCCAGGAGCTCAAGCCCCTTCCTTCCTCTCTGCCGTCTGCATTAGCTTCAGTTTCTGTCCCCAAAAGGCCCCACATTCTCTGTTGTCTTCTTCCAGCTCTTCCTCTTAAAAGACTTTTGGGTTTTTCGATATCAGTAAAATCCTCCAAATGGTTTTTTGGTTGACCTACCTGTGCTCCATACTATCCCTGGACAGATCCAGCACCCAGAATGGGCATAAAACTTGCATCAGTTTTGCATCAGTTCAGAGAGCCAGTGGATGGACCTTAAGCATAGCTTCATACCCAGTAATCCTGGATCAAGGCCAGCAGTACCCCTGTGACTCAGAGCACCCATTGTGATGTGCCCACCAGGGTTCTTGGGCCTTTTGCTCCTTATTGCTCATATGGGATCCCGAAAGCACCTTACCATTTCAGTATTCTTCTTCTCCCAAATGTCTTTTTAATTCAGTGTCAGTTCGCTGTAGTTCCACCTCTTGGATGTTGTCATCCAGGAATTCTTCACATGAATGTGTTGCCCCATAGTCTGTCAGGCTGGTGATTGGGAAAGATACACTTGGACCAGGCTTTCTCTTCTTTTAAATTACCAATGTTTTGTTTGTAGAGGTGCTCTAAGTTAATTTAAAAAACAAAATAACCCTCCCTAAAAATCACCACCACCACCATCACCACCAAAATCCAGCAGCTTCTGTTATCTGTTTGTGATCTTTAGGAAAACACAGAATGTTGCTGAAGAATGCTGAAGCCACATACATGGTGGCTGCTGTCCAGCATTGCTCTCACTGTCTGAAGGGTTCTCTTTATTTTGAAGTGCAACAGTTTAATTAGGTTTTAACTTGGTATTTTTCCTCATAAGTTTTCCTACATATGTATGACCCAAAAAGTCAGACTATGCTGTAGTTCCAGAAGCTTTTTGTGTTTCTGTACAGCTAGTCACTTCAGGCACAGTCTAAAGCAGAGAGAAGTGAGTGCATACATGTTTGTTTGCAGTTAGATTTCCCCACTCTCTTATGTGGTTCAGGATTCCCTGCCTAGGGAATGGTGCCACCCACAGTGGACTGGGCCTTCCAACATCAGTTAACCCCAGACAACTGCATAGATATGTCCACAGGCCAATCTTATGTAAACAGCCCCTCAATGAGATGATTAAAGCTAACTAGCACACTATATCAGGATGTTTCTGCAATTCCTTATATTTCTTTTCATCTCCTCAGCACTTTGGGAGGCTTCTCAGAGCGTAAGTGACCACACGGTGCACCTCTGGTGTTCTTTAATTTTTCCTCGAGTCCTCTCAGTTTCCCACACACTGTTTGGAGAAAGACTTGAGGACTGGCTTGTGGAACTCTCACCTTTTTCTGTAAGGAAAATTGAGTTGATGAAGAAGGTAGAACAGCAGCAGCCTCAGGCTTCTTAATCCTGAGGACAGATATTGGCACTCAGGAGACCTGGAAGGAAAAATGGGGTGTTTGAATCAGTGGGAGGGGCTAAGGGTTGGTGACAAAGAAACACAAGGGAGCTCACTTTTTCTGGGGAATCAACATCGAGATGTCTGCTGAGTATGGAACTCAGATGTCCTTCTGCACGCACACATGCGCTCATTCATAGGTCTGTGTTGCCTTCGGATGGAGTTTCCTAAGAGGGGCTGAGCTCCATGCTGGCTATAAATCTCTATGTAATAAAATCCAAGGCATTCACTGCCACACCAACTCCAGTGTCGTCTGTGTGAGCATAACAAACGGTCGTGCTGCTAGACAGGAGATACGCTTCCCTCGGGAATAAGCTCCCTGGAGGTCCCAGGCAAAAGTCCCCCCTGGCCACCTCAGCCAAAAAGACGTACTCAGAGATTCCTACGCTTCCTCCGTTGCAGGATTGGATTAATGAGCTTTTTGTTATTTCTCTATGATTCTTGGAACAGCACAATTAACTATTCAAGAAAACGCATTCCTGATAGATTATTAAAAGCTTTAGCAAGAATAGAGTGGAAGAAAAATAAAATCTTAAGAGAAGTAATGAATCAGATTCAGTATCAGAAAGCATTACAAAAATAGCAAAAAAATTAGTGGGCTCCTCTTTAGGGAAAGATAGCATGGGAAAGTACAGCTGGCTTGAGTGTGTGCCCCTTGGTGTCTTATCTCTAAGGAGGATCATAAATCTTTAGCAAGACATATGGGAGGATGGTTAACAAAGGTGTATTTAGACTTGGATGCAGAGAAAGATTTTGTCAGGTATCCGACGTGGTTCGGAGGACTATTACAGCTCCTGACTTTCCTCTTCACTAGTTAGCAATAATGAAACTGCAGTTTAAGGGTTTTTTTGTCCTTTGTCTGCTTTGATCAAAAGTTCTCAGGCCAAGATTTCTTGTGGGCACTGCCCTATGTTAAAATGTAAACTTTGTATTCTTGGTAAAAGTCTAAATGTTCCGGGAAGTATGCCAACTTTAAGGTGTTTCCTTATGCAATTACTATAAAATTATTAGCTTGACTTCAGTAAAATTGCAGCAGATTGAAAGCCTCCTTGATGTCGTGTCTGTCTGTTGATCGCTGAAACTGTGCCTTCCTGAATATCCAAAACCCTGATTCTCCCGTGGTTGTGGGACCCAACTGGGTCAGTCCGTGGCAATTCACATCTCCCTTCACTCTAACAGTAAGTGGGGGAGCTCAGTGTTAGTCTTGGCTGTGTAAAATTGCACCAGCTTAAGAAAGCTAAAGCTTGCCAGCCGTGGTGTCGCACACTTTTAATCCCAGCACTTGGGAGGCAGTGGCAGGGGGATCTCTCTGAGTCTGAGGCCAGCTTGATCTACAAAGCAAGTTCCAGGATAGACAAGGCTGATACACAGAGAAGCCCTGTCTCAAAAGATCAAAACAAAAACAAACAAACAAACAAACAAAAGATCAAAACAACAAATACAAATAAAAACCAAGCAAACAAACAAAAAAGCTAAGGCTTACCCACAGAAGCCTGTGCTGGTATTTAAGGAAGTCAGTTTGACTTTGCCAGGCTCTGATTTTTATTCATCTTTTTGTTGTTGTTAAAGAAGAAACTCAATACAAGTTTAATTTAAAAACTTTTTTTTTCTTTCTGCTTTTTCAAATTATTTGAGTGCATGTGTTTTCATGGCACTGGCATGGAGGTCAGAAAACAACTTACAGGGATCAGTTCTGCCCGTTTACAAACCTGAGGATCGGACTCAGGCCAATCTTGGTTGCAAGCACCTTTGCCTGCAGCTGCTGAGCCATGCAGCCTCCATGGAGACCCTCCTAGGGAGTGTTCTCTGAACTAGCACCCCTGTGTGAGTGCGTCTGTAGCAGGGGCCTTTCTCTGCCCTCACTCTTTCATCCTCTGCTGTCCACTGACTCACATGGCTGGGAAGGTTTCGCCCTACGAGCTTCTATTCCACATGTCTTCCTTTGCTGCTCTCTGTCCTCTCAGCTGTGGGTGCTGTCCTGATTAGTCTATGTCAGCTTGACACAAGCAACAGTCATGTGAGCAGAGGAAACCGTAACTATGACAAGTTGGTACCAGGATAGTGGGGTATAGCTGCGACAGACCTGACCGACCATGTTTTGTGGAGGATTCTGGAAGGACTTTGGGCTAGAAAAGGCCCTGAATGTTGAGAGCCCAGGGGGCTGTTCTATAGCAGCCTGGAGAATGAGAATGCTGAGAGCAGGACAGACAGTGGAGGCCTGGTGAAGTGTCAGAGGGAAGCAGAGACTCTACGGGGCTATTTGTGTGAAGAATCTGTGGTCTCTGGTCAACTGGGGCTGAAGAACCAGCTGTGACTAGTAGGAGACCAGAACTAATGAAGTAAAACCTTTGCTTTGCTGGGACAATGGATGCTGGTTGGCTTGAGGCTGAAGAATCAGCCATGGTTAAGAAGGGACCAGCATCCCTGAGAGGAAATCTTCGGGGAGCAGTTTCCTGAGAGTGAGCACACAGAAGCTGTGTTCCAGATCAGCCAAGGCTGTTCCTTGCCCTAGCAGCTGAACGTGGTAGTGTAGTCACTTGGGTGGTGCTGGTTTGGGAAGTGAAGGGGTCTGGAGAGCAGCCGAGGCTTGGCACTGTGTGGCAGGGTTGGGTTCCTGAAGAGCCCAGGAGAGGCTGGTTGTCAAGTGCATCCCAGTTGCAGCAGCAGACCCCAGCATTTGAGGAGATTCCAGTATTATGGGAGGATCACCTAGAACAGCAGCGGTGGAGGAGGGGAGCCGGCCTGGGCCCAGAAGACAAGCTGCGTGTGCTGCCGAGGGCGGGCCGGTGGCATGAGTGTGCCCAGAAGATTGTGAGTGGGTCCCAGATGTTGAATATTGGGTTGTTTACTCGTTTGGAGTGTAGTTTTGCTTTCCGCACACTGTGACAGTGCCCTGGTTCTCTCCTTTTGAACAAAGTAATTTGTTTTTTATTTTACAGGAGCCCACATATGGGAGACTGAATTTTAAAAGGGATTTTTTTTTTTAGGCTTTAAAAGAGACTTTGTATTTTTAAAAAGACTGAATTTTAAAGCATTTGAATTTGTAAAGAATGTGAGACCTTTTTTAAATTGTAAGAATCTTGT